CGACAACGACAACGAAGATCTGTACCAACCTCGCGTCAGCTTAAGAAGATCAGTTTATAAGATCTCATAAATAAATAATCACTTTTTATTCACCGCCTATTCCTTTTTCATGGTAGTTTATGATGTGAACCTCCCAACGGTTTACCGCCTCATAATGGCTGGGAGGTGTTCCTGAATGTCAGAATGCGATGTACAGCGGGGGATTCGTCACCCCGGCAGGGTCTCCCCAGCTGAGGAGTCCGGCGTTTCCATCAGGAAGCCTAGCTAAGAGTAAACTAGTGCCAGGATCTATCATCGCCCTGGTATCAAAGTCGCATGGTTGTAAATCTCCCTCTGATCCACAGGGGCCGCGACTGCCTGCTGAGTTGACGACCTGGGGCAAACTTTGGCCAGGTTGTCCTCGGTATTCCAGGGAACCACAATGACTTAACCAGCAAATCTCCGGAAAATGGTGATTATGCTGAGGTCCGCACAACTAGTGAGGAAGGGGCGTTGAAGTATCAAGTAAGTATGATGCGAAATATAACCGATGTGAGTAATGAGATATTTGTAATACGACCGTAGTGATGAGATATTTGTAATACGTTTCCGTGGGTTGATGCGTTCACCATAACGTCATGCGGGTCCTTCGTTTCACCTTCCTCTCAGCTAATTTTCCTATCTACCAGATGTGAGGGGCACAAGTCGGCATTGAACCCAGTTAACGTTTGAGAGAAAGGCGAAACGAAGGACCCAAATGATGTTGTGCTAAACGCGTTAGCTCCCCGAAAGGGTAGTAGCATGTTCGATCCCCATCGCAGACACATGCGGTCCGGAATTTTGCAAATATCTCAACATCATTATGGTTAAGTATTCACAGCTTCTTGAAGTCTGTTTTGTCTGAAGTACATGACATCGATCAATTTATAACATGGTCAAGTTTCAAGAGTCTTACTTTTTTTAAATTGTCCTATTGGTTTTACAAGTGCGCTTTAAATAATTCATGTTGTCTAAGGTTAAGAAAAAGTATTCTTAGAATAACGCAATTTTTGAGGTACATTTCTGTCTACTTGATGTTTCCGAGAAGAATTTGTTAGAGCAATATCTCATCGTGGACATCTAAGCCCTATATACCAAGGAATGAGTAATTGTAGTAGTTCCCGTAGAGATCGTTTGTATAGCTACGAAGATTAATAGGCTAATAATCATGATGTACCTCATGCTTTTCTTCGGAGTCGAGTATTCGCTCACGTGTGTGATTTCAGCGACATTTTGTACCGAAATTAGTTTTTTTAAACATGTATTACTTATGTACTTACTAACTTAAACGGCCCGTCCTCACTGGTTGCGCGGGTCCCAGAGTATTCCCTGGAATCCCGAGGTCAGCCTGGCCTGCCCCAGGCCTTCACCACCACAGGCAGTCGTAGACCTTGTGGATCAGAGGGAGGTTCGCCACCATACGATTTTGATACCAGGTCGGTGGTGGATCCTGGTATTGGTTTACTCTTAGCTACGCTTTGTGATGGAAACGCAGGACTCCTCAGCTTGGGAGACCCTGCCAGGGGATGAATGCCACCGCTGTAAATCGCACCTGACACCCAGAAACACCTCTCAGCCACGATGAGGCGGTGAACCGTTGGGAGGCATATTTATGTTACTCCAGTTATTTGACTCTTCTGTGCAAAACTGCATTGTTCTAGCAGCCTAATTTTTGAATTGAATTGTTATACAAAGCGCTTTTATTTTGAGTACTTCATTGAAAATTAAGACGTCATCAATGTTATTTAAGCTTTTTATTCTTTAAATCTATGTTGGAGTCGTTCAGAATGAGCAGTCGTGAACAGGCAGTGCTTCAAGCGAGGAAGACTATAGAGCAACTCCGAGGAGAGCGAAATATGCGGAGAACTCCTGTGTCTGCGACATCGGCTGACCTAATAAGGTATTCTGATTCCTGTGAAACGGTTTGCATTATTGTTTTTTTTGTGGAATCTTGTTCAGCGTGTAAAATCCGTTCTCCGTTATAGATCTGTTGTTTCAGATTCACTCAAGATATGCAACGTGAGGATGTCCTTCTGACAGGGTTTCCAAACGACAAGATGAATCCATATCGTCCAAAAAGTTCATTCCAATGTAATCTTATTTGAGTCAGTCTCATAATACATAGCGTACGCTTCGTGCTTAACTTTTCTGTTATGCCTTTGTTCTTCACTGGTACTGCTGCACCTTTTGTGACCTTTATTTAAAACTGAAAGTCCGGAGCAGTCTAGTAGTGCTAAATGTGGTCCAGTAAGATATTTCAAAATGATTCTTTCTCAACCCAATCTATCCGTGAAGTCATTGATTGTTTATGAGTAGAACAGGATATTCACTTTTATGCTGTCTATTTTTTTCTTGAGATTACAAGGAAAACTGCCAGCGTGTTGCATAAAAGAAGCACTAAAGCATTCCTGCAATTGGTTTTACATGTATATCGTATTTGTACTCCGAAGGTATAGTTTGAAAAGGGCGTTTTTAAGATAACAAAGTTTGAAGATTTAGACCATAGGAACGAATTGAAGATAATGCGTAGTTGTTATCGATGATCGTATCCCACGTTGGCGATGATACTGTCGAAACTCGACGCCTACTGAAAACCGCTTTGAGAAGAAAGAGTGAAGATGGCGGTCTAAACTTCAATCTTGTTAAAAAGTTGTCCGCCATAGAATTGGTAACACCTATATCGAGGGTGGTCCTAGCACTTTCGCAACAGTGCGCATTGTTTTCAATACATATGTAGCCGAAAACTACTGCAAGCTTTCCACTTTATACAAAAATGAAATTTATAGGTTGATGTAGAGACCAGTAGAATTCACCGAGGGGAACAATAGCCACTGTTTGAGGTTGAAGTACCACAATAGGCTCATATGCAAGTCGTGTAAAGCAATAAGAACAAGAAGTGAATTGTGCTCAGTCTTGCACTAATACCACGTTTGCGCTTAAAAGTCGACCACTTTCTGTTTTATCCGGAAATAAGATCAAAACGAGTACGATGAATACTACTCATTCCACAGAAGAAAGTACGCCGAAGTGATAACAGTTCTCTTACCAAAAGTTTTTCTTGTATTAAAGACGAATCGTGGTGATCGGTACAGGAAAGGAATACGATTGTGCGCTAGGAATATTTCGCACTTATACTGAAGACCTACTGAGCTGTACGGTATACTGAGAAGCACAAATACGATATAAGTTATTCAAATTGTGCAATTAGAGCGTATAGATAGAAAACAATAAAGGATAAAGCTCTCGCTGTTGATCAATCCCTGAGGGATGCGCCATGCATTCGACTTCATTAAGCATCGTTTGGAGAACTGGATGGATATCTGGCCCTAACATTGGCTCACGGTGGCCTACTGATGTATGAGCCAGTGCTTCTACCCTCCCAGACAAGTCTGGTACCAATTCGCCGACCCCGCAGGGATGGAAGGCTTGGTGTGCCGAGGGCGCGGGGACCGATTCCACGTGTGTGTTGCAGGGCGCCTCCGACCACTGCACCACACGCGCCCTAGCGTATATATGTAGTGGTCATAAAATATGGAGCAAGAGGAACATGTTCAGAAGAAGCTTGGCTGAATCAATAGTGATGAAGCTCAAGTACGATTTACTGGATTAGAGAAATCATATGTAGGCTCTACCCCAAAGGAACACCCACCCGATTAAAACACAAGGATAAGAAGAATAGGCAAAGAGAACATACAAGTACTCTCCAAACAGGTCATTCACCAGATTCAAGGCGGCATACCGGCATTCAAAGTGGAATAAATAAGGAGCATCATATCCCTAATTTATAAGGCGTCAATTCCAATTTCCATCGACTGCTGAAGATCGCAAGTTATCGAAGGTTAGAACCCAGCAAACTTGTTCATGTGCAGGTGCGAGCAGATCGTGTCGTTTCATCCGCATTTGAGAACTAATAGGTATCAGTACACATATCTCTGCTTCTCAATAACTTGGCTACACAGAGCTCTTCGTATGCCTAGTCACTTGTTAGAGATAGGCATAGAGGACCTACCGATTTCCCAGTGCACACAACATAATGATCCATGAGTGTGAGGCTCAATTATGTTTTACTTTTTCAAGAATTATCCCATTTATTGATATGTCCCAACCTCACATTTTGTGCGAAGCCGAGTATTTCTTTTCATTCAGTTCGTTGTCTCACACCTGTCGTGTACAATGTTCTTCGGATTTGCGTGGGGTTCCATTGCTTCGAAGAATTTACCTCTTATGAATGCCGTTGAATGCTAATGGAGTACATTCTTCGTAAAATCTTTTGGTAATTTTTCTAGGGCGTTCCCTATTCTTCATCACAGGCAGACGACATCTTTTGTGAATTGGAGGAAGCTCTTCCTAGACAAGTCTACTAGCAATCTATCGATCCCGGAAGGTTGGAGAGCTTGGTTGGTCCGAAACTTGGTCGATCCGCCTATCATACATGTATTTTACTGCATTTATACCCATTAAGATTCCCGAGCCTCTGTGTTTCATGAATAGACAAAGGGTAAGTATCTATATTTTAAAGGAACCAGGTCCCTGAAGGACAGCGATCAAGGATCGAAGAAGCAACGACGTTTTGTTTTGTGTTAGTGCAATATTCAGCTAATTTAGGGAAGAATTCCTTTCAGACTTTCAATAATATTATATAAAAGTATGGATCGATGGCATGTTTCATACTCTGCAGATCCCAAAACTTCTTAAACTCGATTGGTTTCCTCGCATCCATTACCCACGAAGGTCTTCGACCTTCTTTTGTGTGTGTGTGGGTAAGGCTGCTCAGAAAAGAAGAGAAGGGAGAATTTTAGAGTTCGTTACGAACGCCTTTTAATGCTAGTCGAATCAACACTCCCTGGAGTCCTAGAACGTCCAAACTAGAGCGTTTCTATGTGGATTGGAGGAGCAGGGTTGTACTGAAGAAGTCTAATGCCAATTTGCAGACACCGGAGCGATTAGAGGATTGGTGGGCACGGTATGGCGCCCAACCATGGAGTGGGTAGGTTGGGCCGTCTCCATAACAAACGGGATTACAACCACTGGGCTACCAGCTCCTTCGAATCGCGATAATTCCGGTATAATGCAGATTTCTAAGCAGGCTACTCTTAGCACGACTTTCAAGAAATCAGTGGGAAGATTGCATAAATAAGAGCTAAGACTTGTGGCGTTTTCAAATACTTGCTGATGAACGTGAACTTTTGTAAATCCCTTATTACAAGTAATGATTTTTGCATGCTGATCATACATCTATACTGACGCTCATACGACGAGTTGACCTCTACATTAGGAGTCATACGATGTGGAAATGATGGTCGCCTACAACTTCAAATCAACATGCTTCAGCTGACAGTGAATTTTATTAAATACGGAAAAAATACTTTAAAAACCGACTTTTCTTTAGCCTTGGTTTGACTAATCAGCATGTATTGTTTGATTGGTAAGCGAAGTTGACAAAGAACTTTATTCCGCTAGCGTTTCGACGTTTTCGTCTTCCTCTGAGCGGATAATCCGAATCGATGGTCAACAGTTCTTCGTACTCTCAATGTGGTGTCTTCGTCGTCGTATCGAGTCAAATCTTCTTCAGTGGAGTGTCGCTCGAATGAGGCAATCTCATCAATACAGGAGGGTCGGTGTTGATATGATTGTGCGGTGAAAACAATTTACCTCATACCGAAGTTAAAGAAAAGTCAGTTGTTGAAATATTGTTAGGCTCGGTGCTAACTGATAATGACACTTATTCAGGATGTATTGTCCGGAAAAACAAGTTCTTATCGTCGAACAATCATATTGACAACAACCGTCCTGTGTAAAAGAGCGTCGCGGGATGGTATTTCCTCATTCGAGCGGTGCTCCGCTAGAGAAGATCCGACTCGATACGACAACGGAGATACCACATCGAGAGTACGAAGGATTGTGGACATCGACTCGTCGACTCGGACCATCCACTCTGAGAAAGGCGAAGACCTCAAAACGTTAGCCGAACAAAGTTATTTATCAGCATAGTGTTAGCTTATTAAAGAAAGAATAGCAATAAAAAGTATTAGCATCTTCAAATGTTTGCACACAGGACAACAGTTTTCTTGTTTCACTACGGTGAGATTCGAATCTCTGCAGCTCATGAGATTTACTTTTTCCACTTCATCACTTCAAGGCTCAAATTTTGAACGTGAAAGAAAATGGGAAAATATGATTTAGTATAGAATGAGGCAATCGTGTTCTCTCTCACCCACTGTTTACGTTTGAAGCTGCCGTTCTTCCACTGTGAGGGCAAACATGTTGGCGAAACTATGACAGTAGAGCACTCAGCGTCCGTGTAAAAGAGCACCTTGTTGGCAAACTTGTAATCAAACAGTACACCACTAGGCATACATGGGAACCAAAGACATTACGGAGAAAATTTTAAGGTAGATATCACTATTTTCGCATGAAAAGGGTAAAAGCTCTTGGCGTTGATCGATCCCTGAGGGATGCGCCATGCATTCGATTTCATTCAGCATCGTCGATGGTGACTGAATGCATATTTGGCCTTTACAATGACTCGAGGTTACCTACGGAAGTATCGACCTAGTGCTCATCCTCTCAGACAGGTCTGGTACCAATCTGTTTACTCCAGACTAATGGAAAGCTTGTTGGGCATGGGCGTGGAGATCGATGCCTTGTGCGTGTATTGCAGGGTGCCTCCGACCAGTGCGTTACACGTGCCTCTCATCTTGGCATATAGGAATCTAAAATATCAGCTCGTAAAACTCTTGAAGCGTTTTGGACGAATTCTAAAAACCCAGAAATGAACCGCAAAAAGGATTGCCTTGTGATCACGTGTGATCTCGTGCCATACATATGGCCACTCTTTTGACCTAGGCAAAGCACATAATCACCCATTTAAGACTCGGTGCAGCTGCTCCGAAACAATAATTGGAGGTTGTTATTATAGGATTTATTAGGATACAATAGCTAATGTTTCGGCGGTTTCGCCTTCTTCAGAGCCTGGAAAGGTCAAATTGAGATGCGATCTACTCAGCCAAACACTTTTATAACCCTAGCAGATAGAACTTAACAAATAAATTTGTATTCGCATAAGAAACAACTTCATTTAAACACCTACCGTTTATTCGTTGTAAGTATTACAGTTAAACAGCGCAATAACAACTTCGTGTCTGTTTACCAAGAAAGACAGTGAATTAAGTTCTGTTATCGATTTTTGAACCTTTAGACTTGAAAAGGTACTGTATAGAAAACGTATGTGCGACTAATGCGAGAGAGAAAGGTCTCAACTATAAATCTATACATTCGACTCCTAAAGTACTCTAGTGATCGGCAAATTATCTTCAGTTATCGAAAAACCAGCTCCGACTTGAAAGGGTTAGAGCTGCATCTATAGAAGTCTCTTCAGTACTTGATCGATATCATAAGGAAATACCCCTAGGTGTTGAACTTTAATGTACAAGCGCACCATATATTTAATCGAATTTTGGATTTTTTTTCGAATTTAAACAATCTTGCAACTAAAACAGCAGTTTGTATATATGCAAATATATACTCATTTATTTAAAATTTTACTTATATATGGGAGATATATACGTATATAAATACCATATATATAGGTTATATACTTGTATATATAATTTAATTACCCACGTTTTGAGGTTTTCGGCTTCTACATCGTCCTTGAGCGGTCGGTTACTTTTACATACCTACTTTCGCTTCTGATTTCGGTTTTAACATCTCTCCGAATCAACCAGTAGGAAGACCGAACGAAGAATTCGTCGCCGAAAACACACCTCCCTATGATTCACATCGTGGTGAAGACCTGGATAAGCTTTTTTTTGCTTTTTTTTTTTGAAAAGCTGTGCCGAATTCGCCTCAGTTCCTTAAGCAAGAGGATCGGATCGCATCTCCATCACCACTAAGGTGGTGCTCGAATAGGGAAGGAAACTGAAATTTGATCCTAATGCAACACGTTTAACATGGCTAATAATAAATGACAGCTGCAAAAGAGCTTTGCAGGAAGATCTAGAACGTTACAAGCAGAAGAAAATACTGGAAGCAGCAGAGAAAAGAAACACTCCAAAAAAATGCCGTCTGGATTTGTGTGATTACAATGTTCCGCTGTCAACTCTAATGAACGAAGATGGGATCTTCAATGATGCTGAGATATTTGCAAAACTCCGCACCGCAGGTGTATGCGGTGGGGAACGAACGTGCTACTGTCCTTTCCGGGGAGTAGCGCGTTCACCACCACACCAGTCGGGTCCTTCGTTTCGCCTGTCTCTAAACTAGTTCTATCGATCTTTTCCCATCAGCAATCACCCGTCAGCGAGATTGATCTGAGGGCCCGAAAAGACTCCCCGGAAAGGACAATAGCGTGTTCGTTTCCCACCGCATACACCTGCGGTGCGGAGTTTTGCAAATATCTCAGCATCAATGAAGTTATATTTCGCAATATACCTTGCCATTAAAAAAAGAAGGGTAGGCAGTAAATAATAGGTTGAAATTGAAGATGGGATCATCAAAACCTCCCGCCATGATGTAGAATTAATAGCGGAAACGTTCTACACCAACCTCTTCCGTTCCGCAATCCCCGTCCCGGACCCTAATATCCCCGATGNAAATTGAAGAGGGGATCATCAAAACCTCCCGCCATGATGTAGAATTAATAGCGGAAACGTTCTACACCAACCTCTTCCGTTCCGCAATCCCCGTCCCGGACCCTAATATCCCCGATGGAGAAAAACCACCTGGAATTCTTCCGTCGGAGGTTCGAGTTGCTATAGAAAGCATGAAAAGAGGCACAGCTCCAAGACCCGATAATATCACTGCCGATTTCCTTAGAGCTGGAGGCCACAATTTACATGTACTTCTCGCAGATCATATGGCAGGCTACGTTCAAAAGGAAAAAATCCCAGACCAGTAGAGGACGTCGCGCACGGTCATCCTGCTCAAAAAAGGAGACCGAAGGAATCTTCGTACTCCATATGCTTGTTAAGTGTCCTCTATAAGCTCTTCACGAAGATTATCCTCCCGTGCAAATCAAGGACATTAGATGAAGCGCAACCAGTCGAGCAAGCATCCAAACCGTGTTCAGGGTCATCGAAGTTTGTCGGGAATACCACTTGCCTCTAGTCCTAACCTTTGTTGACTATAAGAAAGGGATTGACAGTGTCGAAACGAATGCAATCCTATCAGCGCTCGTCGAGCAAGGAATGGGCCCGTCCTACATAACGACTCTGTCCGACTATTATCGGAACTGCACTACGAAAATACAGCTTTTCCATCGACCTCTTACAATACCCATAAGAAAAGGAGTTCGACAGGGCGACACAATATCGCCAAAGCTGTTCAGTGCCGCATTGCAATGGATAATGAAGTCACTCGATTGGGATGGGAAAGGCATACGTATTGATGGAGAATTTCTATCAAACCTTCGTTTTGCCGACGACATTGTCATCTTTTCAAGAAGTACTAGCGAAGCAGAGGTGATGATCAACGAGCTCAACGAAGCGGGAAAAAAGATCGGATTTCGCATAAATCAAAAGACCCAGTTCATGTAAAACCCATGGTGTTAAGGCGAAAAAATTGACTTAGATGGCTCTCTCATTGCAGAGACCACCTCGTACGTTTACTTTGGGCGATCAATGAACATGGAAAACAACATGAAGGGGGAACTAGATAGAAGAAGGAGAGCAGCTTGGGCCTCATTCGGGCCTCTCAAAGAAGCCACCGACCAACTGAAGGATTCGAAAATTCGCGCTCATTTCTTTGATTCTACTGTCCTCCCAGCTCCCAGCGCTCTGTTATGCTGCAGAGACGTGGGTTGATACTTCGACTACGTCAAGAATGCTGAGAACTACTCACAGAGCGCTTGAACGATGTCTTCTGAAATATAACCGGCACTCTCAATATGTAACCGGAATGCGATGCTTTGACCTTCAAAATCTGTCACATCTTCGAGAGCCAGGAAAATATACAACGACAGCGAAACATAGATGGGCCGGCCACATAATGAGAAAAACAGACGAAGGATGGACGGAAAGAACAATAGAGTGGACTCTAAGAGCATACGAACGTCCCCTGGGACGACCACCTACACGTTGGCTGACGTCTTCGTAAACAAAGTTAATCAGCTGTACCCGCAGCTGCAGTTGTTTTACAGACCACGGCATGAGACTCGCAAGCGCTAGCATGCTCGAACAAAACCACCACCATGGGCTACGATTGCGAGAGAAAGGAACGAATGGTATATGTGCTAGGGTCCGCACAGCTCATGAAAACGGACCGTCCAAGTATCCAAGTATGGGAGACGGTGGAGCAGGTGTACTGTTCCCGCTCATTACGCTGACGGCTCAACCTAATCAGGCTCTTGTCCGACCCGGCTTTGAGCCCACCGAGCCTCCCTCCAGTAGAATCAGGTACTTTTCTAAGCCATTTTAAACTGCATGTGTAGACAGTAACTTTTCTTGGATGACGTCAGACATAACAACTGTGACTTGGAAGCTATCAAATGACAACGAAAGATATCAAAGAACAGGAAGAACCTTGTAGAAAGGAAACAAAAGGAATAGGAGCCATACTACTGCGAATGTTTCGTGGTACATTCGAGGGGATATTATAGAAGCTTTATTCGGAGCTGAGTACACGATATAATCGGCAGAAAATGTGCTCCAGCTCAATTATGACGGCGCGTATTTTGAAGAAACGAATATCGCGTCGAGGGTTTGTGGTGTCCCTATTTGGTTTCCTTCATGTCCAATGCTCAAAATAGCTAGGGAGATTTCCGAGTCCGATTCGGGAGTTTTTGCTATATTGGAGGATGTTTGTTGTGAAAGCGATGACAAACCTCAACGACGAAGTACTGGGACCCAGACGGAGGTCTGCTTCTTTAATGGAAGTTAGAGAATTTTTTGGCAGTTTTTTGAATTAACGTCTTCAGATCTCTTGTAATGATGCTCCTCTCGCTACTGATGTCTCCATTCGTGTTGAAGACCAGCAAATTATTTGTGAACATCCGGATATAATGTTTTGGCGTTCGGTTGCAAGTCAAAGAGCCAATGAACTAGATAATATTAGAGAAGATATTATGAAGGTAAGGTTCCAAACTGCATATATGTTAACTACTTTTATGTTAATGCAACTAAGAACTCTTAGGTGACCCAAGGGCGCGTGTGGCGCAGTGGTCGGGGGCTCCCTGCAATACACATAGGATCGATTCCCGCGCCCTTGGCCCACCAAACCCTTCATCCCTCCGGGGTCGGCAAATTAGTACCAGACTTCTCTGGGAGGATAGCAGCACTGACTCGATAAATCGGTAGACCACCGTGAGTCAATGTTAAGGCCAGATATCCATCCAGTCACCTCCAAACGATGCCTAGTGAAGTCGAATGCATGCGCATCTCTATGGGAGTGATCAACGCTGAGAGCTTTATCCTTTTTTCCTTTAGGTGGTGCAGCGTAGTTTTATAATGACCTGGCCAGTAACTAGTTTCTCTTGTAGATGCGAGACTTGATTCTAGAAAATATCAAGGAGAAGGAAGCCTTAGATAAGAAACACGATGAGCTCTACTGTCAGCTACAAGAGATTCTGAAGAATGACCGAGATAACGACGACAAATTAGACCTTATGGTGGACAAGACTGTACCACTGACGTAATTCCTGTAAATATTTAGTTGGTATTTGTCATTCTCATTGTTCTGAGTTGGATTCGTGTTGAGTTCATTTCCTTAACTGACGATTAGACCTTGTTCTTCTTAAGAGGTATTATTTTGTTTGGGATTCCATGACCCTTACACACTTCCTCTCTCTCTCTCATGCCATTGAAAGAATTCTGTTCTTTTTCTTTGCTTCAACTCCCATGTGCTCTTATTTTGTCCTAAATTTTTAATTTCAAGAAAGAGGACTTTCAAATGGTTCGCTAGAGCTGTATGGTTAGCATCGATATGTGGAATGGATAAATGATTTTTAGAGTCTTTAAGTTTCTCTTCAATGTTTTTGTGTCTTAATCATACCATACTTGCTTGAACTAGCATTGAAATCTACGGAATTGACCAGGAGAATCTTCAATTGGTTTCCTAAGGTATGGCGAACGTACGTGTTGGACTGAAGCAGGTTTCAAATTCCAATACAAGTCCATCGCTCTCGGTCCTTCACACAAAGAAGGTCAACAGTGGCCAAGATGCTTTTCCTATAAAAGTAAGCTTTTTCTTGTGATCACCATGATCGTTTGAAGTAGGTGAACCGTTGATCTTTGATGGTGATTTGTTGCGTTGTAGAAGAATAATAGCCTAGAATGGTTTAGTTTCGTGGATTATTTGGTATTTAATCTCTCCTCTCATTTGATTTATGCAATCTGACCTCTGTGGTATGTGCCATTGCTACTTACATAGCTTCATTAACGTGCTTATGACAATTTAGGGAAGATCTGAAGTTAAAAACAAGGAGAATGCTGTCTCCACAGTCGACAATAAGGAAAATCAGGCAGTACAGGTGTCGGTTGAGGTATACCGCTCTTTTTCACATGTTTTGTTTTGTTTTTTACTTTTTTCTTTCAGCGTATCTTATAAACACGGTGTAAATACATTTGGTGCTGTTTTCATCTATGTTATGATTCACTACATTTTCCAATTTTTATCATTTTTGGTAGATAGAAAATCTTGAGGGCCCGTGTAGCGAAGTGGTCGGAGACGCCGTGCAATAAAGGTGGGATCGGTCCAGAGTACCAGGTTCATCAAGCTTTCCATCCCTCTGGGATCCACAAATTGGTTACCAAACTTGTCTGCAAGATAGGAGCTCTGGCTCGATACATCGGTAGGCCAGCGCTAGTCATTGTTAAGGCCAAATAAGCATTTTAGTCACCAACGATCCCTAATGATTTCGAATGCACCCCGCATCCCTAAGTGATTGATCAACGATGAGAGCTTTATTCTTTTACACTTTTAAGAAGACTTGAATAACGCTGAAGTCTAGTCTTGCTATGGTGAACAATAATACGTTTATAGGTGGAGTCTTCATATGCTCAGACAGATGTTATAACCACTAGGCCAACTCCTTCCATTTCGAAGGAGGTAGGACCTTTATGCTTACTGTTCAGTGCAGACATACCGTTGTTATAGTGTGCATTGACTGTAAAGTTTTTAAGGACCTTCTATGCGAAGATGTAACATCGTCATATTGGCGCGGGATGGCGGAGAGATTCGAAAAGGAAATCGATTCCGAGTTGGAAACAAGCTTCAACGTAAGCTCCACATACTGTTACTATTATTGCTATTATTATTATTATTATTATTATTATTATTACTATTATTATCATTACTATTTTCTGGAGCTGTGGCAGGTGGTTGGGTGCTCGTAAAGAGTTCTTTCCTTCGAGTTTTCTCAGCGTTGTTATTCTTGTCTGTCTTTTCTTGTTTTCTTCCTCGTTTTGTAGAAAATTCTATTTTGCTTTGTAAAAAAATTTCCATGGGGCCTATGAGGTATTTTTTACTCCTTGAAAGTTTGCAACCTTTCAAACCTTGTGAAAAGCTGTGAAAGTTCATCCCTTTGTCATTGTAGTAAACATTTCCATTCCTTAGTTGTTCCAGACGTCGCTAGAATTGGACAGATCCTATGAGGATTTAGCTAAATCCGAAAGTCGCCTGAAGATACTGATGGAGGTTTTGGATGATATTATCAGTGATGAAAAACATGACAAAGAAGAGGCTGGTGTTGAATGATCTGATGATCTAAGCAATCCATCCTTCACTAATCATAACATTTCTTTTCTTCATTTATTTCAGTTTCAGGTTTTATTTGTGTTGTTTATCTTTGTTGCCTTACAGTAATAATGACCTATGTTTGCTATTATACTTACTAAAATCTCTTCGATTTTAATGAATGGATTTTCGCTCTTGAAACCTTTCAAATTTTGTACTGTGAATTTATGGATTTCGGGAACTCTACTATATTGCTTTACGTTTATTTGGCAGCTCAAATATTCCCTAGCGATCCTTATTTTTCTCTGATATTTATGTATTGTGTCGTTTGGAGTTGGTTACAGATCTGAATAAACAATTCCCAAAGAACTATTGATCTGTTGGTTTTTTATTTTGACATTTGCAAGTTTTCTTATACGTTTAGAACTATACCTACGTATCTTCTTACCAAGAGTGCTTACTTCATATCCTGGTTTAATCCTTACTTAGTTTACCATTCAATACTCTGGCGAGGGTGGTACAGTAGTAGTGATGCTGTTCAATACACGTAAAGTTCTGGCTCGACCTCTTGCCAGATAAACCATACCCCTAGAAGTTCGACCAGACCTTGGCTCACATTGCTACAAGTAGCACTCAAACAATCATAACCCTAATGGAGAGAAGTTTGGCTTAAATTATTCCCATATTTATTCGTACTAAAGGCTGAAAGTTCCACAACCTATCTATACTTTTTGTTTATTTTTATTCTTCATGACCCATCTTCACATCTGTTGTGCGGATCCCAGTGCTTCTTTATTTCGATTCATTTCCTGTCATCTATCATACTCTCATATCATATCTTCTGATTTTTCGTGTAAGGGTTCGACCGCTGCTTGAGGATCGTCGTCTTTTTTATGGATCCCTGCCGTTGGATGCTGGCCGAGTTGATTCTACTTCGACTGCCGGGATAGCTGTGCTAGAGGGTTCGTGCGTGGATTCGAGGAAGTGAATTGAGCACAGACAACCCTGGTACCAGTTTCCTGACCCTGGAGGGATTAGAGGCTTAGTGAGCTCAGGTATGGGTCGAACGAGCACAACGATGCCACCTTAACATTGCACTTTTTGGTAAATTTTGTCCTCAGGGTGAAGTTCACTTGGGTACTTTAAAATCGAAGTCCATATAAACCGAAGATATTTAACTGAAATATGGCCTTAACTGATTCGAAACCAAATGCATTAATGCAACTGCATATGTGACTCAGACAGGACCACATGCATTCATGTCAATGCATTCGCCTGCCAGCTATTAACTTTACCGTCTAAGGTTCTTTACTACATTTTTTATATCAAAGCAATATCCCGTCGGAAAAAACTTTGTATAAGGTGTCGTTCACTGCATCTCTGTTCCTTCTATTCTTCGCGCTTAATAATTTATTAAGGCCGTGAATTTTCCATACGAATTTTGGATGCCAAACACTGTTGACGAGAATGTTCTAAGATATTGCAAACTACAGAAGCTTCCAACTCAAGCACGGTGTATCACTGAGTACAATAGAGGTCTTCAACACCCTCTCCTCAAAGTTGGATGGAAATATAAGATGTAACGTTTTAAGGAGGATATACCGAACATATATTGTAGAGCCAACCATCAACGGCTGATCACATAGGGATTATTAGACTAGTTATCAGTCTTCTTTATCACTGCAAAGAAGGATAAATCTTCCAAAAACATGCATGTGTACAAAGAATAATATAGCAGATATGTTGAATATAAAGACGCGCAGAAATAAGCCAAATCATTTTTTAAAAATATGAAAAAGAAGCGCCATGGTCATTTTGAGGGGTGGGGCAGACTGGACCGTATGCAATGGTCTCAGCTGGAACCAAACACGGCGAAAAAATTGCTCCTACACGCATGCGATACAAAAATTAGACGTAGTTGCGAATACAGAATGAAAAGCCAAGTTCAGTTTCAAATTCTTGATTTCGAAGCTATTATGAGGATGGTGTTCGACTTTATTCACGTATTCTCTTTTATCGGGGCGCGTGTAGCGCAGTGATTAAAGGTTTCCTGCAATACACACGTGGTCTTTCGTTTGATTCAGCGCCGCAGTCCCACTAAGCCTTTCATCATTCCGGAAGACAAATTGGTACCAAACTTTTCTGAGAGGAGAGCAGCACTGACTCAATTCATCGGTAGGCCACTACGAGTCATTGTAAAGGCCAGATATGCATTCAGTCACCTTGAACGAACGCTTAGTGAAATCGAATGCATGGCGCCAATCGCTCAGGGATTGATCAAAGCCGAGACCTCTACCGTTTTATCCTTTATTCCATTTTTCATTTTAAATGAAAAAAATACAGAACAAAGAATGTGCTAAGAATATGTGAAGTCTATATCCATTTAACCTGTTTGAGATGGTACTATCCACTATGATAGTGATCTTAAAATATGCAATTAATTTTATAAAAAAACTTCTGGTAAACACATAAAGCATCAAATACAGTTAGAACTCCATTCAAGAACAACTGACCAGATATCAAGTGAAAAAGGTTACTCCTATCTACAAACGATTAATACAAGAATGAGATACAAATAGACTAGTAAAGCAGCCCAGTGGTGGTCCGCAATCATGGTATATTTAAAGAACCGAATTCATACAAGTAGAAATCGTTCGCGTTGACGGCTTCCAATGGCACGAACTGTGCATTTTCTAGATTCAAGTGGACTCCGGACTCCTTACTCTCTGAAACATCAATGAGAGGAACTAATGGACTGGATAACTCAGAGCGATGTCTGTTGAATTTTTCTGGGATTCACTGGCTTAACAAACATAGTAGGTTTCTTTTTCGTGCGTGAAAGTTAAATTCTTCCTTTTCTAAACTTTTACTTGTATCTGCTACATTAGAATGAGATTTGTTCACCTGTGGCAGAGGCTGTACGACTCTTACTGCGTGGTGACGGTGTCAGAAAATTCCTAACAACATTCCAAATATTCCGCAGGTCGGTGGTCATTTGTAAACTTGACAATAACTGGAGAAAAAGAAACTTCTCAAACATCCGAAAAAACTCATTTCGTGTTGTGGAGTAAGAAATCAGAATTTAATTAAATAAAATGTGAATGGATTAGACTGCTGAAGGAGTGTGGGAGAACATCGAAGACGCAAAAAGAACGTGGGCAGTAGGTGGTGTGAAGTGCGAACGAGATCTAACACATCACGAACCGTACTCGTTCTTGTTCACTACCGATTATTTTTGGTGACCAGAGTAGTTGGTAACAGACTAACTACCAACTGTTGGTACCAGACTTATCGGGGGGTGGGGGATAGCAACGCTGGCTCGATATATCGGTAGGCCACCGCGATGCAATCAATCACCTCCAAATGATGCTTAATAAAGTCGAATGCATGGCACATCCCTCAGGTATTGATCAATGCTGAGAGCTCTATCTTTTTTAACTAGAGTAGTTGAAGATTTTAAGACGTTGAAGACCTATAACGGACTCTTCGCTACGTCCCGTTAAAGGAATGCATGATTTTTAGGAATTATTCTTTCATTTGGAAATTGTCTACGGTTATGGTTTTCGAAAAATTTTAAAAAGTTAAATTTTAGAGGCTTCATCGCAAATGCTGGGGCTGTAAACATCAATGTTACATTTGGAGAACAATCTTGCACTGAGAGCGTCAACAGAGAAAGGAAGAGAAAACATATGGGCCCCAGTTATCTAGATTTTCTCTTTGTAGACTAGCAACACTTCTGTTTTGCTGGCGAGGATTTACAAATTTCAACGTTTTTTACTTCATTAATAGAGCGCACACTGTTGATTAAGAACTGAAAGCAGACACTGCTTCTGACCGTATGCATTGAAACCAATGCATGGAATCGGTGGAATGGAAGATTTGTGGCCATTCTCCATAAAGGAAGTTTGTACACCAATAGCTTAGAGCTGTACTCGGCATTTTGCTCGGCTACGTGAAAAAATAATCCACTCAAGAGATATGCTCCTTATCAGCAACTAGAAGCTCTTACATTGGTTTTTATCGGAATACGAGGGTAAAGTAGAAATGCTTAGGTCAAGATCTTTGGAAGAAAGCCAGAAAATACATTTAATGTGTGATCGGAGTGAACAGAGTAGCTCTCGATTCTTTCCAACTTCTAAGCAGATGTTCCGTGCCACATGATCAGCCGTCATGTGTTTTCCGATGAGTAAAAAACAATTCGGAGTATACATTCATTGTCTGGAACATTTGGTCGACAGCAAGCAGAGTCCATTTCGGCCAGCAGGTAGCAGACACTGGCTTGTAGCTAGCAGCTCATGTAATTGCCCGTTCGAGAACACTTTTGACGGCAGTAACCAATAAGATTAAGATGAATTCATAATTTATTAGTTCTAATATTCTAGAGCAAATATTGAATTGGAATACATAGTGATTCTGTTGGCGCTGAATCTCACAGACTGAGATTCCGTCATAATCTTTGATATTTATGGTATGACAAATGGAATTCGGGAGACATGAAACAAACAAGAATGGCGATGTTGAGCTAAAGAAATGATATGATCCTCTCCAAAAAAAAGATAAATAGTTAGCGGTGCTCCATCGCAGTTGCTAGCGGAATATAGGCCTTCGAGTCAGTTCTCGACACCGAATAACCACTAGCTTTAAGCGGAATACTCGACTTCGTGAGAAGACGCCACGCGGGACTTTTCGTAGTTGATACAGGGCAACACCTTTCAACACTCAAACTTGGGATTAAATTTTTATATACATAAAGGCAACAGCAATACAACAGGAATAACGACGGTAGAATATTGGCGTAAGAATAAGGCAACCAAGTCTAACGTAAGACCCGATAGAGATTGCCAAGCCAAAAAAAGGAGCTACTAGTCTGGCGTAGCTACGTCCAAGCGAGTCGTTGGTGGTAAGGTCAAGGCCCGGGTCGCGGGGTCCATTCCCCAAGCAATGAGACGCACCCACTAGCATGCCCGGTGGTGTGGCCGATGGCCACGAGATGCTGTGTCTAGTAGCGGCAAAGGCCGTCT